TGCCTTAGACAGCCTGATCTAGTGTGAGGCTCATGGCAGGGGGTTTGGAACTGGGTGGTCTGTGTGGTCCCTTTCAACCGTGACAGATTCTGATTCTGTTTTAGCAGAGGACTTAGTAGTGTTGGCTTAATGGTTGGACTTGATGATCTTAAAGGTCTCTTCCAACCTAAAGGATTCTATGATATTACTGTCAAGGGAAATGTTTTAAATATCAACCAAGTTTTTCGTACCCTTCAGGCAGGCTAATCTGTTACTTGCGCGAAGGCTAAAAATTTGTCAAAATTTTGGCAGGGTGAAAACTAAGTATAGTCATTTGAGCTTGTGCAGTTCTGTTGAAGATCACAGAATGGTAGGAGTTGGAAAGGACCCTTGGTGATGATTTAGTCCAGCTCCCCTGCAGGTTCACGTAAGGCAGGCCACACAGGAACGCGTCCAGGCAGGTTTTAAAAGTCGCCAGAGCAGCAGACTCTACAACCTCTCTGGGCAGCCTGTTCCTGTGCTCTGTCATCTCCACAGGGAAGAAGTTTTTCTTTGTTTAGGTGGCACTTCCTGTGTTCTAGCCTGTGCCTGTTGCCCCATGTCCCATCCCTGGGCACTACAGAAAAGAATCATAGAATGGTTTGTGTTGGGAGACACCTTAAAGATCATCTAGTTCCAACCTCTCTGCCATGGGCAGAGACATCTCCCACTGGACCAGGTTATGCAAAGCCCCATCTGATCCTGTCTTGAACATCTGCAGTGGTGTAGCAAATGTTTGATTTGGTGTAGCAATTCTCCAGTGATGTACTGATGTTGACACCTGCCCTTTAGACATTGATAAGATCTCTTCTTGTTCTTCTCTTTGCCAGGCTGAACAGACCCAGGTGGGATGAGGTCTTGTTGCTTGTGAATGGGAGTTGCCTGCTAAATGTGCTTCTGAGCTTTGCCTTGTACATTGAGTTAAAGCTCTTTTATGTGAGATACGGGATTTGGGGACTGCCTGTGTGCAGTGTTAGGGATTCTGGAGCACAGATGGACAGTGTGTTCAATCTTGTGTACTTGTGCTCCTTCCCACTTGGCACCGTGTCCACTGTGCTGAAGGTGACTGGCTTGCTTGACCTCAGCCGCTTTCGGAGGCTTCTGCAGGGCTGTTGTCACAAACAGGTAGAAGACTTTCAGTTAAACCATCAAGATTTGGGACTGCTGAGGCTAAGACAGCAATTTTTGAAGAGGAGGCATTTGACAAAGTTTGGGCCTAGTCCAAGTCAAAATCAAGTGGAGAGGAAGGTGCAGATGTAGTCAAGGGCTCAGGTGCTGTGGAAGTGCTGCATTTTTGGGAGCACCGGAAGGGCTGTGCTCCCTTCTGTGGTGACTCGTCCTTTTTCTGAGGCTGACAAAAACAGCCTTCTCCTCTGTCACACTGGGGAAAAAAAGTTGTCAAATGTTTTTAACAACGGCTGTTTGATTTACCTGTGTCAGATGGACTTCCAGACTGTAGTCGTTGCAGCCTGAGGTGGTGGTTCTGATTTTTGTGGGCAGGTGAGCGGGCAGGGGCACGGGCAGCTCCGGGCGGGGCATGCGGGGCTCTGCACGCGCCGCGGGGAACGCCAGGGCGGAGCTGGCAGTCACCAACACTGACAAGGAGTTAGCTGTGACTAGGGACAGTGTTCAGACGATTAAAAGCCAGGCTCATGCATTTTTATGACTCTACAATCTCCTCATTTTCAAATAAGTTAAGACAGCGAGCAAGTCTGAATGGTTCTTCCCTTGCGTGCCAGTAATAACAAATGAGAGGCATCTGCAGAGGAAGAGTTTGGTTATGACTCCTTCAGGGTTTCTGCACAGTTAAAATGTGTGCTAGCCTGAATACCTTCTGCTCTCCTTGGACTTATTTTTATCTGTAGTACCACTTAATGAGCTATTAGAAATTAAATTCCTAGATAGTCTTGCTGGCTTCTTTCCATTGCAGGATGTTATTGCAAGACTGATTGCTACCCTAATAGCTAGAATACATTTTTTCTCGTCTTGAAGTGTAACATCAAAAATCAGCAACTTGTTTTTTCTTCAAAAATGTACATTCTTGTATCTCTTCTTTGAATAGTATTGCTGAATGGCAGTGGTATGGCATTGATTCGTATAACAGTGATTTACTCTGAGGTTAAGTTCATTAGTGCCATCCTAAATAGCTTCCTTTAGACTGGGATTTAGTGTGACATGTTATATTTATTGAACTGCCAGGTATCTAATTGATCTGGTGATACTGACACTGTCTAAAAATGAGGTGTGGACAGCAGCTTCAGCTATTATTTGTAATTTACCCCAATACTTAGTCCAGCTATGTTAGCAACCAAACCCCATTAATAGAGATGATTCCTTGGCTGTAGTAGTCATGTTACCCCACTTTTCCTGATATGTGGCTACTTTAACCACTTAATGACCAAGATAGGCTGCTGCTCCAGTGAACTCTGAACAATTTTCGCTTGTCAACATAGGATGAACTACAGAAATTTTTATGTGAAATCTAAATAAGATGGCTTAAATACAAGTTTCTTTTAAAAAGCAAATAGCATGTGGTGTTTGGGTCTCTGTTTTAGTTCCTTATTGGAATAATAGGAACTTTTTTTCCCTGCTGGACCTGAATGGTCTTACCAAGACTGTGCGTGTTCTCCAAGGTAAGAATGTGCCCTGCTGTAAGAGGCAGGGGCATTGAGGTAGCATTTCTAGACTTGTGGAAAGGTACACTGTAAAGCAGATCTTTATGCTGTGGTTTTGAGATGATTAATTCGTAACCATGAGACTTGTAAGACTTACTTGGGACAGTTGATTTTTGTAAGTGGGGATGTATTTTGCTTGTATTGATTATAAGCTTCTGTGTTGAGTGCCTTCAATGGGTTCTCATTTTTGGTGGATGTGGCAGATTGAGGCTTCAGAAGGGAAACTACCTGATTTTCCTGCCAGGCCAGAGAAGATGTTTTGGCTCCTGTATTACATATCAGAGTATCTTGATGTGACCTGCACCTACATGTTGGGTTCTGTAGAACATTTGTTCAGGAGCGTAACTGTTCCTGTAGGTAGGAGGGGCTCTGGACATTAAGGATAAATAAAACCACACTGGTGTTGGAGGACCTAGGGACTGGTTTTGGTTGGTGATGGTGAAGATTCTGTTAATAAGCTAGTGAAAGGTATTTTTTGTTCAGGAGTCCAAAAAGACAAAGTTTGCTTAGAAGAGAGAGCAGGAAACAGAAGCAGCATGGGAACAAAGTCTGTAATTATCTGAAACTGGTACAAATGTGTCCAGGAGTGCCTGCTGAATGAAACTCAAATACTGGTGGAATTAATTATGCCTTGAAATTATTTGGAGTTCAGCAAGTCTGCTTAAACTGTCTCATGAAATTACTTTATAAATGAGCCTAAAAAATCTGTTAAGTGTTGGTAGCTTTACTAGAATAGAGCCATTCTAAAAATGAAAATGGAAATTCAGTTTTTGAGAATAGATTATGATCATCAGAAGCTGGGAAAATCTAAAACTTGTTTGGTATTGTCTGATTGCTTTTCTCTTTTTTTAATAGTGATCACATGGAAAATATTTATGGCTACTTGATGAAATACACCAACCTTGTCACTGGCTGGCAATATAGGTGAGTCTTCTATGGTGCTTTTTCATAATGTTTTTTGCAGCATCTAAGTGAACATGTTTCAGATTCTTTAATATTTGTATTGCTCTTTCTATATTAGGTGAACTTTATGGAAGAGTCTTTCACTTTTCTCAATACAGATTGAGTCTAATGTGTAGATAAAATAGTATTTGTATTAAGGCATGAATAAGAAAATAAGTACATAGGAAGTATGAAGCAGTTAACCCCTTTAGTGGCTTATGACTATGCTTGTATGTGTATAAAGCATGTACTGCATTAATTTTTTTCTTCTTTTCCATTAAAAATATTGTCTTTTTTCTGTTGAGTCTTCAGTTTTATGGTAAATACCACAGTTGTTTAAAAGGGAGAAAAAAAAAAAAGACTTTTTAACTGAAAGTTCAAACTCGAGCAAGCTTTTCCCTTTAGTTCCCCAGGATGTTTGTTTCCTGGAATAACTGGCTTTTCTTTGACAGGTGAAGCTCTGGTCAAGCTTCCTGCTTGATACTGTTCCTAGAGCAGCAGAGTGCAACCACATTAATAGTGGATAAACAAGTCCTTAGCACACCATACTGGCCAAATTTTTGTGCTACCACTGGCATGCAGTGATTTGTGTCAATACTCTTATTAAACTCAATTGAATAGTTGAAGCATAATGTCCAGTCTCTTTTTTTTTTTTTTTAATTAAACCTGGAATTGTTTCAGTTTCACAGTGTAGTGTCTCAACTGTTTTGTGTCTGGGGCTCTTTTCCCTTAATTTAGGTAGTTTGAGGATGTATTGAGCCTTAGAGATTCAGAATATTCTTTTGATTCCCAAAATCTTGCAGTAGTGCTCTTCTGTGGGCACACAGTTGTGCAATCCCTGGTCTCTGAGGAAAAATTGCTAAGAACTTAATTTTTGTGCGGTCTTGTTTGGGACATAATTAATACGTTTGGGGTTGTACTGACTCAAGTCTTTGAGTCCCAACCCCATCTGTGCCAACTTGTAATAAATGTCTGATGTCTCCCAGTACCTCTCCTCCACCCCTCACAGAAAAGTTAAAGAATGAGCTGTTTTTATTTAGTGTATTTGCTTTGTCGTTGCAGATTTTTTGTGTTAAACAACGATGCTGGCCTGCTGGAGTACTTTGTGAATGAGCAGTCCAGGCACCTAAAGCCCAGGGGTACGCTGCAGCTGGCTGGGGCTGTGATTTCTCCCAGTGATGAAGACTCTCACACCTTTACAGTCAATGCTGCCAGTGGGGAGCAGTATAAACTGAGAGGTAGGTCCTGGGTTCTTGGGCAGGACATTCTTCCACTAGAGGACACTCCTAGCTCTCACCTGTGGTGGCTTTGCTGGGCTTGGCTGCATGGTCAAAACCAGGGAACTTGTTTCACAGACTGCTGCAATGGGACTTGTGTGTGAAACTTTCAGCCCACGCTCCAGTGAAACTTTGCTCCCACTTTTCATGAGAAACCAGCCTCTACTGTAGATAGTTCCATACTCTGTGGGTTTGATGACTTTCAGAAGACCATGAACTTCAGATACAAAGGATGGGGTTTACTCTTCATGTAATATCTTTAAGTTGTACTGATTCAACATTTTCTAAATCATTGTAGGTAACAGTATTGTGTTGATGATTGCAGAGAACTATGTTATTCCTAATGTTGACAGAGTTCTTGTGGTGGTTATAGAAGCCCATTCTCTGTTCTTGTAGGCTGTGGAAATCTGGGCTACTCTTACTATTTTTTAGTTTTTCTTCCCTTGAGGGCTTGACGTCATTTTCTGATATTAGGTACCTTACTCTTATTTCAGGAAAATGTGTCGTGTTGTTAAATTAAAATACATGTAAGGGGAGTTACTGTTTATTGAAGTTATTTTTATGCTATGAAATTAAAAAAAAAAAAAACCATGCTGTTTATATTGAACTTTATTTAATGTTATAGTTAATTACAGGGTCAGCTGAACAAGTTTAATTAAAAAAAATTACTTTGCACTGTTAATCTTGTGTCTATTTTAAACAACGAAGCAGTCTGTCTCTTGCCTGTACTTTGAAATGTCTTCATCTACATAATCCCTCTGGTTTGCTTTTATTAGCTACTGATGCTAAAGAACGGCAACACTGGGTGAGCAGGCTGCAGATTTGCACTCAGCATCACACGGAGGCTATTGGAAAGGTATTGCATGACTGGGCAAAAAGTAATTTAGGCTGGTGGTACAAGTAGCTGCAAATACATCTATCCTGCCATCTAAGACAAACACTACTAAAGAGTGTGTGTTTGGGCTTGAAACTTGTCAACTATTACTCAGAAAAAATGTTTCTTGACTTGTAATAGAAATATGTTTTAGGGGTGAAACAAATGAAGTCCACTTGTCTGTAGTGGTTTTGCTTTTTTTTTTTTTTTTTTTTATGGATGGGGAAACAGGTCCTCAGTGTTACTGAAGCCCTTTTGCTTTGAGAGCTCTACTTGGGCTTTGTTTTTTTAAAGCACTCAACAGCCCACAAATACATTTAACATGAATTTCCCTGTTTGAAATGCAAGTCCTCAACGATTTTTATTTTTATAAATAGTTTTATTTGCTAGTGTGGCAAACAGCTAGCCATTTGGTGGTCATGTGTATGGTGTGTTCTATAGAACCTGTTCATTGTTGTAACACCTGTTCTGATACCTCAATAAACCCTTGCTTTTAAGATAAGATCAACATCTTGTAGCTGACTTTGTGAGAGATAAGTTCAATAAATAGATCTAAATGAAATCCCATTCTCTTAAATGTGAGCTGAGCTCTATCCTTGTAGGATCTATTACAAGACAATTTCTACTACTGTTGCAGATCAAGGACTAATTTTCAAGTCAAAGAAGTTTAGAGTATAAAATGGGGCAACTGTTAGCAGATAATGCAAAATATTTAGTAGTCCCTACTAATATATTATTAGGGTTTTGTCATCTGTCCTTGCTCTAAAAAAAATAAAAAATAAGCTGTTCTGCTGTATCTTTCAAATTAGAATATTTGCTGATTATTAGGAGTTATTTGTAAATGTTTCTCAATATGCTTATTTATTCACTAGAACAACCCTCCTCTGAAATCTCGTAGCTTCTCTCTCGCATCCCAAGGAAGTGCCAACTCTCCTGGTGTGCAAAGAAGACTCAGTCAAAATGCAGTTTCCTTTTTCAGTGTTGGACATCACAGATTGCCAACTGGAAGAAGAGTTCCTATTGTGCAGCCAGATCACCTTGTAGATGTTAGAGAGGTTTGTATGCCTTTAAATTACCTTACAATCTTTTGGAAGATCAGCCCTGTTTGTAGGACTGTGGAGAAACCTGCTGTTCGTGGTTGGATACATTGTCAGTAGTGTGCCCTGAGCTGTTGTTGCCTAGCTGTGTGAGGATAAGTAAGGTGCCTTGTCTCATTGCAGAAGTATGTGGGGTATATTCTCTTTCCTGTCTAATTCCCCTTGGTTTTGGTCAAATACCTGTCATGCTGCTGACTTGGATATCTTGCAAAACAGGAGATCTAAGAAGATCTTTATGTTGACTTGTACTAGATGCAGGTGCTTGTGTTTGCAAGTGAGAGCTAGAGCCTGTGTACTTCAGGCAGATTTTGAGTTTTTAATCACAGTGCTTTTTACTCCCTAGACTCCTTTTTTTTTTTTTTTTTTTTTTTCTCTTTTCAAATCAGAGTATATAAGCAGAAAAAATCTTAAGACTGCCCAAAGCTTGTTCTTTGGACGGGGAGATGTGCCTATTTGAACTTCAGTGCTGGGTAGAGCGTTGCTTGTCCTATTGTCTGGCATGATGGTGGAACCCTGGTAGCTTGAGTGCTTCCATATAGTAAATTACTAAGCGTGCACATCACCAGAAGGATTGTGGTGATTTGTTAACTAATTATCTTTTTCTTTTCTTTTTTTTTTGGTAATCCAGCAGAGCATTTCAAAGCATTTTAAAAAAAAACTTGTGCAGAAAGACTTACCATGTTCACAACGGGCAGAAAATAAGATGTGTTCTGATAGCAGATGGTGTGTTTGCATAAGCAAGGCTATGTAACTGTTTTACTTATGAGCCTTCTGCCCTGTTGCTTTTGGGACATGCTAAAGCTTCACTTCCAGAGCCAGTGCTCTGTAAATTCATGCCACAGCATGCTGTGCAGCTAAGCCCTAAAATATTCCAAATACCACACACCATGAACTTGGATGAATCCATGTTGCTTAAGTATTTATTGCACAAAACCTTAAAAGCAGGTCCGGGAAGGGATTGCAGTCAAAGGTATTGAAAAACAATCCCACATCAGCAAGATACTGCTAGGATTGGTGAATTAAAAAACTAAGTAGTGCCATAGCAATTAAACACATTAATGCATCTCAGGTTCTTTAAAGAAGTTCTTATTCTGCTCTGCTAAATCAGTCTGGTTTTACATTTAGCTTAACTGCCAGAACATGCCAGAAATGATCATGGAGTAGTGCTGGCCAGTTGTATGCTCTCTGTTGTACCTCCCCATAGAAGAGAGTAGCATGTGTATAGTTTTGCTTTCATCCTTGTGATTCAAAATCAGGCAATATTTTGTTCCTGTGAGCACAAAGAGGAACGTATGTCAGCTTTTGGAAGACCACAGCTTACTGCCGGATGACTGGTGTGCTCTGCTGCTGTAGTTCCTGTGGGCAAACGTGCAGTTGCAGGTTCTGTGATGTAGAGGTGTGGAAAGGAGGAAAGAAGCTTGGGGTTGAGCAAGGGAGACAAAGACAACAAGAAAACAATTTGAGCACATAATAAAGGTGAAAGTCTTGCTGTTTCTTCTCCCCACTCTGCAAGGCGACTGGTGAGATAGGGATCCCAGTCATGGTGGCAGTGCAGATAATAAAGGAGTATCCTCTATGGTTTGAGCCAAATTGAGTGATTACAGGTCTTTTCCTTCAAAGTCAATGCTGGATCTCTTCTTGTAGGGAGTGAAAGTCTTGATACCCGTGGGTAGTACCTCCTTCTTCCAGGCTGTGCAGAGCACAGAGTTTAATTACTCCTCACACAGAGTTTTTGGTTGGTTTCTGTGGTTTGGTGTGGTGTTGTCTTTTTTTTTTGTCCCAGGTCCCTATCAACCAGGCATGAAATTGTTTGATGTTTACTTCAGCAAGTATCATGTTCAAATTTCTATTTGCTTTTTTGAAGTCACTTTGATATTCTTTTGCTTGTTAATAAGGTGGCATATATTGCTGTGACAATTTCATCCTGTGTTACTCTTTAGTAGCTGCATCAAGGAAAAAAAAATCCCAAACAATTAACTTTACACATCTATTACCTTCAATTTTATTATCATAAAATCATTTGGGATCCTCCATGTGCACAGGTAAACAGGTATCACAACACTTCCACCACCTGATAAATGACTGTTTTGTTGGACAGATGATGTCTCAGGCTGAGGGTCAGCAGAGAGACTTGATCAGGAGCATAGAATGCCTTCCTGTCTCTGGTCACCTTACCTCCTTGGATCAAGACCTGTTAATGCTCAAAGCAACTTCCATGGCAACCATGAACTGCTTAAATGACTGTTTCCATATTCTCCAGTTACAACATGCTTCTCAACAAAAGGGATCCTTACCAGCAGGTGGGTACAGGTGCTCACAAAGAGCAGAACTCTGTAACAAATACAAATCCTTTCCTTCTTGCAAAAGTGCTTATTCCACTAAACACAGTTTCACATGGGTAGAGAAAACTGCCAGAGGCCTGCTTTCTTGTGTGTTTTTCCAGAGTCTGACTTGATGGTGCTGAGTGTGCATCCATGCATATTGTGTATTTTTTCAGTCATTTATTTTGTCCAGAAGTTTGTGGCAGCAGTTGCATAAATGTAACATCTAATTGTTGTGGATCATCTTGCAACAGAATAAAGTACCTAAGGCACTGCAACAAGAAGGCTGCCTTTGGGATGTAACTGGCCTCTCAGGGGTAATGATAGTAGAGGGGGAATTCTATAGGATGGAAGATTCTATGAAAAGTGGTATACAGTACAGCTCTGCGAACTGTCATGCTCTCCTGACTTTTTTAAACACTGAATACCTATTATAAGCATTTATATGCATGTAGCTTTCATTTATAGCTGAGCCTTAAATTACAAAGCTCTACATTTGCACAGTTTATTATTAATACTGTTTATGTAGCAGTATTCTTATTCTGAGTTAACATCCTAGTCTAAAACACAGGCTAAGTCAAGTGTTGCATTCCTTCCTGAGGCCAGAACAAACTTGTAAACCAATGCAAATTATTTCAAGGAAAAAAAAAATCTTTTCATAAATAACCAACCCCCCCAAGACAGACAAAACCCCTCCCACAAACCCCAAACCCTACTGCTAGTGAGTGTGCAATAATCTGCATTCACAGAGAGCAGACAAATATCTTGCTGTGTCTGCACAGTTGATCACTTCTCTGCAAGTAGGTGCTTACCAGAATTGTTCCACCTAATTTGTGTGCAGCATATGGAACTGAATGTGTGCTGCCCTGTTTGTAAATTCTTTTGCATCTTTTGTGATTTTTCTTTTCCATAAGTTTACTTTGTGGCTTTTTGTGAGCAAAAAGCATTTGAGGATTCTCAAATGCTTCTCTTACTCAACAGACAGAGTAGATATGGCAAGTATGTAGCAAAGGACACTGTAGGTTCTCTCACTTTGTCTTTCCCATATTCCTGTGCTATTTGTGCTGCTTGCTTTGCCAGTAGTATTATTTCAAAGCTGTAATTAGTATAGCTTTTAATGTGAAAAAATGTTGTATAGAAGTATTAAACCGATAAAAACAGTTTGTGGTTTTTAAATTACCACAGGCATTAAAAAAGAATATGTGACTAGGATGGGTTAACTTTTTTTTGTATTTAAGTTCAAAATTTCATTTTAAAAGTGAAAAACTAGATGTCACCTCTTCAAATCTGTCTGATCTCCACGTTTACTCACACTGGAAGAACTTTTCATATTCCCTACAAATTTTTTTTTAACTACTGATACATAACTGGGAGGTGCACATTACAAGTCTTTTGGCATTTTCATGTGTGAACTACTAAGGTGTTTTTTTTCCCCCATTACTGTATCTGGAGAAATAAGTAGAGTCTGGTGAGCACCACTCTAACTGAAGATGATCATATTTTTTTTTTAATAAATGTTTTTGTTGCTTTTTATTTTTTTAAGTTATGCAGGAAAAAGCTCAATTGATGCGACTGCTATTCAGTTGATATCTGCCTGTTAATGGGCAATTCTAAAAGTATTGCTCTTGAAGAGCTCTGGTGATATCCTAGAGAGGTTGATGGAGAGAAGAGGAGCAGCAGATTCAATGATACATTACTGGGGCTAGAGCTAAAAACAGACCATTAAAAAAATGTACGTGCCTTTCTGCAGCCTTCCAGTCTCCCACCCTTGGTGTGGCCTTTCCAGAGACACTGTAATGCATTTGTTCCTTTCAAGGATTGCAAAAAACTTTTTTTAAAAATCAGTTTCAGTTATTTCTCCTCCTGATTCACGAGGAACACTTCGTCTGGTTCAACTGGGGGAGTCTTTCTGGTAGGCTTCAGAAGTTCATACAGAATGGAAAAGAGTTGTGGCTTAATTCAAATGCTGCAGGAGGCATTTCTATGTTTAAGTACAGGAAAACAAAATTATGTAGGAAAAAATCTTGAATACAGACTGTTCTATCTAGTAAAATAGGTACAAGTATTACTAAATCTTTCTAGAATCACAAAGGCAGGGCAGCATACTTCCCCTAGATATGAGTTAGGTGCAGGAAGAATGGATAGTGAAGAGTCTTGTCTAATAGAACATAAATTTAAACATGAAGTAGGAAGAAGTATTTTTGGGTCTACTAAAGTGGTACTTGACTGTTAGGAATGTGTTGGGCAAGCACTTTTCAGGCCTATAAACAAGGACTAGGAGTTATGTAAGACTGTTTTTTGTCTTCCAATAATTTATAGCAAACTGGCAAACAAAAAACCAACCAACCAACAAAAAAAAAAAAAAAAAAACCCAGAAGAGTGAAAATACTGCCTCAGCTGCATCAAGTTATACCATGAGTCACAAACTTGAAGATGAACAGGAAAGTTGCAACTTCTAACATTTCCTAAGTTTAAGTAAAATGTGAAATGTACTGGATTTAAAAAATAAAGTACTTTGTTATCAAAAAGGTGAATTGCAATGACAGTTTGCAACTTTTGAAGAATGTTGAAAGTAAAGATCGTAGACTTTGAGAGGTCTGTGTTGTAGCAGAGGGGAAAATGCTGGTAACTGTTTTTAAAAAAAAAAAAACTTTTATAGGAGGAGGAGATCTCAAGTCAAGATAATAGGTTGTGCCTACCTAAAATAGTTGAGAGCATATTTGAATATGATATTCCAGTGGAAGAAGGGTTAAGGTAGTATCCTGACCGGTCACAAAGATAAAAACACAACTGCTATCTCAAATCACTTAAATACGAACCCAAACTTCCTAGGATTTAACAGTGAAAATTAAACAAAACCTAAGAATCATAGAATCACTCGGTTTGGAAAGGACCTCTAGGATCATCAAGTCCATCCACCATCCCAACAGTTCCCTAACTACCAGACCTCAGGTGCTACATCTACTTGTTTTTTGAACACCTTCAGGGATGATGACTTCGCCACCGCCCTGGGCAGCCTGTTCCAGTGCCTAACCACTCTCTCAGGGAAGGAATTCTTCCTGATATCTAATCAAAATCTCTTTTGGTGCAACTTGAGGCCATTTCCTCTCATCCTGTCGTCAGTCAACTGGGAGAAGAGACCAACACCAGCCTCACTACAACCTCCTTTGAGGTAGTTGTAGAGAGCAATGAGGTCTCCTCTCAGTCTTCTTTTCTCTTGGCTAAACAACCCCAGCTCCCTCAGCCAGTCCTCATAAGGCAGTTTTCCAGCCCTCTCACCAGCCTCCTTGCCCTTCTCTGGACCCGCTCCAGCACCTCCATGTCCTTCTTATTCTGTGGGGCCCAAAACTGGACACAGTTCTCAAGGTGTGGTCTCACGAGGGCCAATTCCAGGGGCACGATCACCTCCCTGCTCCTGCTGGTCACACCATTTCTGACACAGGCCAGGATGCTGTTGGCCTTCTTGGCCACCTGGGCACACTGCTGGCTCATGTTTAGCTGGCTCTCCACCAACACCCTCGGGTCCTTTTCCACCAGGCACTTTCCAGCCACTCCTCCTCAAGCTGGAGCGTTGCCTGGGGTTCTTGTGACCCAAGTGCAGGACCCAGCACTTGGCCTTGTTAAACCTCCTACAATTGAACTCGGCCCATTGCTCCAGCCTGTCCAGATCCCTCTGCAGAACCTTCCTACCCTCCAGCAGATCCACGTTCCCACTTAATTTTGTGTCATCTGCAAATTTACAGAGGGTGCCTTCAATCACCTCATCCAGGTCATTGATACAGATATTGAGCAACACCAGTCCCAAAACTGAGCCCTGAGGGACACCGCCTGTGACCAGTTGCCAGCGGGTTTTAACTCCATTCCCCACAACTCTCTGGGCTCAGCCATCCAGCCAGTTTTTAACCCAGCCAAGAGCCCACCTGCCCAGGCTGTGAGCTGCCAGCTTTTCCAGCAGAATGCTGTGGGAAACTGTGTCAGGTGCCTTACCGGAGTCCAGGCAGACAACATCCACAGTTTTCCCCTCATCCATTAGATGGATAATAAATAAAGTTAGTTTAGAATTACCTGATAGGGAGTATGAAAGAGAGGCTACTTGTTAAATTCAAGCTAATATAGAGGCAGTGAGTATAGATTAAGTGCAGTTTATAGAATCATAGAATGTATTGGTTTGGAAGGGACCTCTAAAGGTCATCTAGTCCAACCCCCCTGCAATAACCAGGGACATCTCTAACTAGGTCAAGCTGCTCAAAACTTCATCAAGGCTGACCATGAATGTCTCCAGGGATGAGGACTCCACCACTTCTTTGGACAACCTATTCCAGTGACCTGTCATCCTCATATTAAAGAACTTTTTCCTAATGTCTAACTGAAATCTCCCCTTTCCTAGCTTAAAGCCATTACCCCTTGTCCTGTTGCTACAAACCCTTGTGAACAGTCCCTCTCCTGCTTTCCTGTAGGCCCCTTTCAAGTACTGGAAGGTTGTTATAAGGTTCCCCCTAGAGCCTTCTCTTCTTCAGGCTGAAAAACCCCAACTCTAGGATGTGACCTAGCTCTGTGTAGCAGAGGTCTGGAAATAAAGGATTGTGTATCCTATAGGAAGAGACAACAGACACCTCAGTGGAAGTTCCTAAGCACAGGATACTGCTGTTGTGATGATAGGAATGCAGGTTTCCTAATAAATTCTGCATTTGCAACCCAGCCAAGATGGTTTGTCAGTTTTTGTGTTCTTTGGTAAAAGCTGTTTGGAGTCACCTGTGCATTTCTTAGCCTTTGAAAAAGGACGGAACATTTGTATTATTGATGAGGAACTCGATCTCTTCTGATAGATTAGCTGGGGGTAACTAGAGATGCTGGAATCATCAAATGGGTTACAGCTTTCTAAGCCCTGCAGCTTTTTTTTTTTCTTTTAAGAAACTATTATTTATTCAGCAGTGTGTGCTCACCACCCTTGCAGCTGGGAAAAGACAACTGCCCTCTCCAGAGAAAACACTGGCCACAAAACTACTTCTGCTTTACCTCCCATTAGTCTAGAACTGACCTGTGTTTGAGAAGTTGATAAGTGGTGTGCTGATTTTTTTTTTTTTTTTTTTTTTTTTTTGGTACCAGTTAAAGAAAACTGTCAGGGTTACTTAATATTCCTGTGCTGGTGAGTTCATCCTGTAGTGTCTGATTACACTTTGCTTGACACCAACTAGTTTCTCCAGTCCGAGCCGCATGTATTACAGCTCACCAATCGCAGTGTTTGTGCTAATGATCACTGAAGGTGGTGTCTCATTGCACCACCTTTGTTTAGTGGCTGCTGAAGGGATTGGCTGCAGGAGGAATTGGCTGCTTTCAGCTTATTCCTTAAAAAATAGCTCTTTTGTGAAAACTGCTGGTTCCTGACCTTCCGGAGGATGAGCAAGTTACAGCGCAAACTTCCCTTTGCCTCAGGAACGACGATCAGCTGGTTGGAACCGAAGATATCCCTGGCAAACCACTTCAAAAATGGAGCAGCTCAGAATTTCCCAGCGGAGATAAACAAACCAGCATCTGTCAGAGAGGAGCACTCCGTTGCAGAGCCCTGCCAGCTAACAAGGGTAAGGTAATGTGAACATCCTTTTCTGTGGGGACTTGAGAAATACCTGTAAATATTTTAGTCATATTATGTGAAAATTATTTAATGACTATTCTTCTCATGCTTTTTGGTTAGCTGTGTTGGAGGAGGAGTGAGTACAGTTGCAGTAAATAAAACTTTATTCCTTGCTTTTTCAGGATTTTTTTTTCTGCTTTCTGTATCTAGTTGTCAAATTGAGGGAGCCAATTGGGATAGTAATGCAAGGTGTTGAAACAGGTCAAAATTCAGGGGAATACTGCTGAAAACAAATGCATACTGAAGTGCAAAAAAACCTAACTGAAATTCACAACACTCTCAAAATAGGCCCAAGAACTGCTGAAGCAGATGAAAGACAATTTCTGGTCCTCAGCTATTAAATCTCCCCATCTTTTTGAACTCTTGATGCGTCTGTTTTTCTTAATCTGAGCAACTCTCATCACTTTAGGATGGCTTAATGTGTTTGAAATACAGCTACAGCCTGTATCATTGTAACTGCCAAAACTGATTTGAAATGCAAAATACTGAAGTAAAAACCCAGCAGGGATTATGAGAAAGCTAAGCCAGAAAACTGTAATTACATTCTTTTTATACTAGTTGGTTTCACACAGTTGTTTGGATGAGACTATCATTGTGAGAAGATAATGTGCTGTTGTATGTCTCTGCAATAGCACTGTCCCATCTCATAGCAAAATTGGAAAGGAAAAGACGTTTTCAATTGCTATAGCTCATAGATTTGTAAAAAAGTAGATCAGAGTAGTTGCTACTAAGTTAACAAAAGAAAATTAAACCCGGAGCTTTCAAATAAATCACTTAATTCCTTTTTCTAATAATTGAGCAAGTTACAGTTCAAGTGTTTAATATATTTAGGCTATGACTAGTCTTATTATCCCCTTGGATAACTTCAGCTCCCTTATTTATGATAGCAGAACAATGTAGCATCCTTGGAGAGGGGTCACTGGCATGATACTGCAGTTTTCATCAGGGTTTGAGCTCTGTGTGTGGGCTTGGGCCCCTGGTTTTGGTGGCTGAGTGTTCATAAATTTGCCTTGAGCTGGGGCAGCTGCTCCAGGACAAAGGGCTTTGCTTAAGCAGACAGGTACTGCTGTCTCTCCCCTCTGCATCTGCCTCCCTCCAGCTGTTTGCCCCAGGAGGATGCTGCTCAGAGCCCTAGGAACACCAGCATCCCTTCCTCCACTTTCTGCTTGCAGGGTGATGGTGGTTAAAATGGTGCTTGTGGGGTGGTGGCCGTTGTAGCAGCACCAAAATAATTCCTGTTTGTCTGTCTGGGTGTTCCAGTTACACTAACAGACAAGCAGTGTGCATGTGTTGTTACTTTATAAAATCAGCAGCAACATGGATAATGCTTGGGAGGACTGGCCTATAGATCTGGTAGTTGCTTCTCATCAGGCATGACAGTAAGCAAGTTACTGGTCACTGCAGTTTGCTACAGCCTCTGGAGTAGTGACAGCAGTACTGGAAAGCCTGAGGGGGTGTGGAGGTGGAGGGGTGTTACTGAGGTGGTTGGAATTCCTGATAGGTTTTGCTTGACTATTTTTGTGTGTATGTTAGATGCTTGTCATTTTGTTAGTTCACAAAACCAACAGGAAAACAGGTCATATTTGCTTTTAAGCTTTTTATCTTTTTTTTCCCTTCCCTGACCCAAGTGAGAGAGGGTGAGAAATGTCAGCCTGAATCCTCTACCTGAAATCTGCACTGAGTTATCTTAATGTTCCTTTAGATTCTTCACCTGTTGCTTATCTCTGGGGGTAGTTTACATTGTGTGGCTCTCTGCAGGGGATTATGTAGTCATTTTTTCATACATGGACAGTTAAATACAATGTGAAGTCCTTTTTGGATGTTGTCTGGCCGGTCACATCTTTGAGCTGATGTTTATGGCTCTTATCCCAGGAACCTGAAGAAATAAATCCAGATGAGGAGCTGGAGGATGCCTGTGATGATAAAGAAGACGATCTAGGAGCGGTGGAGGATCAGCGCAGTGTTATCTTGCATCTTTTATCTCAGCTGAAACTCGGCATGGACTTAACAAGAGTAAGTAACTGAGGTGTGAAGACTGGCTGCAGCAGGAGTGAAGTGCCGTTTTGAACTCAGCTCCTGTACTGAACAATACTGAGTTCAACGTGAAATTGTGGCCTCTGGCAACTTTGAGACACAAGATGTACTGTTGCAGTTTGAGGCAGGTTTTAAGTGAAATGTGCTGAGGAAGAGTGGATTTTCTTTAATGCAACTGGTCATATCTTTTCTATTATGTTCTGTTTGTGTTTCCTACTGTGTTTTTTGTGGCTTTCCTGTAATGTCTCATTTTCTTTCCTGTGTTTGCACCTTATTCTTTCCCACAGCCTTCTCATGTTTTTGTCATTCTGCTTTCTTTCCATGAGCTTTTTTCTCACTTGATAATGCTTTTAAATACAACTTGAATAACCCTACTACACCTGTATTCATGCTGCCTCTGAAATGAAGTTTTCTTTAGGTTCCTTGTTATTTGTCCTCAGAGGTCTTTTTACACCTCTCTGTCCTATTTTCATTTCTGTATTGGGTCACAGCTATAGTAACCAGGAACAAAGTTATGCTGGGGAGAGTTGGGGCTGACACTTCAGTGCACATCTCAAAAGCAAGAAGCTTTGAAAAATTAACACTCAATTGTTATTAGACAACTTGGGTGGCAAATCTGGGAGAATCAGGCTGCTACCAGCTTATGTTAACTCATTCCTGTAAAGACTTCTTCCTATAAGCATTAGGCACTTTTAAATAAAAAATGAGTTTTACAGTAGCATGGAATATGGAAAGCACTCTTTCTTGGAGTCATGGATTTTATTTTTTTTTTCTTTCAAGCTATGTTTTTTGAGCACTAGCTACTTGGCCACTAGAAATACTTGTAGCGTGAAGCATACATTTCACAAGTGGGGAGGGGGAGCAAGTTAGTATGGACAAGCCTTTTGGCCTATGGGCCAAACTTAAACCCCTGTTGCTTAATCAGGAATTCATCAAGTCGTTACTTCTGCTACGTTGAAGATTGGATTTGGTCTGTCTTCTTCTCTTACTTGGGACAAATTGTAAAGTCTGTCTTCCAGTTGTGGCTTCTGGCTGCATGTGTAGAATTGCCTTTCATTCAGAGCAGGCAAAGCATTGAAATGTTTACAAGCTTGACTTCAGAACAAGTAATGATGTTGTTAGAATCACGCTCAACTTAAACATCAGGGTACTAAAGTGAAAAGCAACTTCAATATTCCCAGTTGGTGTAGCAACAACACGGCAAGTACATTCAGCCTAACTTGTATGTCTGTTGAGAGACTTATATCTGTTCTCTGCCTCTTTGAATGCAGCTGATTTAAATGGACTGTCTTGATCTCACAGCTGAGACCCTCTCTGTTGCTCTGTATAACAGTTAGTTGCATGAGGTTAGTTGCCACGACAGGGAAGGGAAAGACTAATGGTACCCACACAGCCTCTTACTCTACAGCATGGCCCTTGGCCCAGCAAAGGACAGGACTGCTGTTTTTTAGAGTGGTGAATGTAACTGGGAAAGTATGAGGTCCTGTGCTCAGAGGTACAGGATCAACCTATACTGTTTCTCATCGGTGCTTGTCCTAGTTGCTGTGGTGAAAGAGGCTCTGCAGGTTCTCAAGAGCCCTGATGTAGCTTCCCTGCTTTGCTTGTCATTGGACAAAGCCTTTCCTAACCTCTGCTCTAAACCTTTCTTGCTATAGTTTGAGCTCTTTCCCACTTGTTTTCTCCACAGACATGTAGGATACATTAACTCCTTGTAGCTCTTCTATGGTTTTTGAGGGATGTTCAGTCCTTTTCAACCTCTTTAGTCCTCATAGTACTTATTGGGCTTTTTGTTTCCTTGTAGATTGCTTTTCAGGGACCTCAAACGGCTTTATTTTTCTCATGTCTTAGAAGAGGGACAAGAAAGTTCAGTCTGAAAGTGTGGTGTCCAAAACGGGACAGAATCCTCCATCTGAGAACTTCCCTTAAAAAGATATTGCTGTCTCTTTGTTTCACTTACTGGAGGTTTCTGTGTTGTATTTCAGGTGGTTCTTCCCACTTTTATTTTGGAGAAGCGGTCGCTGCTTGAGATGTACGCGGACTTCATGTCCCACCCCGACCTCTTCATCGCGGTGACGGACGGCCTGACGCCCGAAGAGCGGATGATCCGCTTCGTGGAGTATTACCTCACCTCCTTCCACGAGGGCCGCAAGGGAGCCATAGCCAAGAAGCCCTACAACCCCATCATTGGGGAGACCTTCCACTGCTCCTGGACGGTGCCCAGGAGTGACATAGCCACTGGCGCTGGCAGTAACTCGTCCGCTCGCTCCCCCTCGGAGCAAGGAACTCCCTCTAAAGATACAGAAGGCCAAACAGGGCTGGACTGCTATACAGTAAAATTTGTAGCTGAGCAAGTGTCCCACCATCCTCCTGTCTCAGGGTTTTACGCTGAATGTGTAGAGAGAAAGATGTGTGTCAATGCCCATGTCTGGACAAAAAGTAAATTCTTAGGAATGTCAATAGGAGTGACAATGATTGGTGAGGGTAAGTGTAACTTCTGTCCTTTTTTCACTTTAGAAGGTGGCTAAAATGAGGAAATTTGATGTTATGTTCCTCTGGCAGAAATACAGATGAGTACTGTGTGGTAGTTTTGTTTCAAAGACTTTAAAAAAAAAAACTGCTTGCAGAAAATGTCAATGGATTTTCAGGTTTTTTTTTTTATGTACTTCTGCTTTTCCTCTATTCTTTGTGATCTGCAAGCCTTAATGTACAATCAGTCAATGATTACTTTATTTTTACTGTTTCCAAAGTACAGAAGATACCACAAGTCCTTATTATGAATGGCAGGTTTTCATATGGGGGGAAAATATTAGGTTATGCTTTGCCAAAAATCAGGCTTATATTTGGAAATAAAATTTTGACTTTAACTTCCCTTTGATTTAACTGTGTTGTAAACTGATGTCTATAAACGTTTCCAAAGCACTGGGCACATTCATTTGCATTAGACACTTATTAAATAGAAGCGTTGTTGCATTTTTGTGTATTGCACTTAATGTGCATGTTTTAATTTTCCTTAACTAGACAAATTTGATCCTTTAGGGACAGAGGTAACTGCCATTAAACTGTAATTTCCATGTAGTACTAGTATTTACTGCAAGAGATGAGACAGCATCTCCCACTGTGTCCCTCCAGTAACTGGGGATTCCAGGCACTTGTGTCTCAACTACCTACTGGGCAAGGGAATGAGCGTGGCAGGGGATGTGGAAGGCACATCTCAATGCTTTCACTGTACTAGGTAATTTCTGAAGTTAATAGATTAATATCTCCTCTAGGGCATTTCTCAAATCATGTCATAACATTTCAGAATATCTCATGTTTTTCGTACTGATGTCAGCTGCAGAGTGATAATATGCCCCAGGGGCATGGTGGGTTGATGCAGGCAGCAGTCAGTTGTCATGCTGTGTTCTTGAAATGGCATGAGACAGATCTTGTGGGTTTGACTTTTTTTCAGTAGAAATCAAACAAACCCACACATCTTAAAACCTGAAGAAAAAGTCTAGGTTTTTAGGATACTCTTGACTTTTATTGCAAAAGCTCCTCTCAGAAAAGAGTTGGCTTTATCTTGGCAGAGAGGTGCAGTAAGGAGAATTCTCTGCTACCTGCCCTCACACAGGTTAAGATGGATTACAGGGAGGAAAACCAGAACAGGTGTATTAGCCTTCCTCAGGGTCTGCAGTTCAGGGTTCTCATTCGTTATTTCCTTTTGTCAGAGTAAGTCTTGTGTTGCTGTGCTCCAGAACCAGGAGTAAGAGTGACCAACCATTTTACATACTACTGAAAAGTTTCACACAGTGTTGTACTTTATGGAGCCGTTTTATTAGGATAAATGTCTTTTCCCAAAAGAAACAGAAATGCATGTTACTCAGGTTAGTACTTTCAGGACAATATTTGTATCTAGAATCTGTAAAAAATGTTACTTTGGTTTTTCTTTTCTTTTTGGTGTGAGTGGCTATAAGGAGAAGTAATCAGATGTAGTATTGCCTACCTATTTCAATAACTCATTAGTCTTTTCTAAAATGGTGCTGATGGAAGGATTCTTGTATTTCTTCACACAGGTCTCTTAAGCCTCTTGGAACACGGGGAAGAATACACGTTCTCTCTGCCCTGTGCGTACGCTCGGTCCATTTTGACTGTTCCCTGGGTGGAGCTGGGAGGAAAAGTCAGCATTAACTGTGCGAAGACCGGGTACTCTGCAAGCATCAACTTCCACACCAAGCCCTTCTACGGAGGCAAGCTGCACCGGTGCGAACATTTGCTTCTCCTTTCACCATGTAGTCTGTGCTCTAGGACTCCAGTAGCTGTGTGACTCCCCTGTTCTCTGTGCTGAATGATACTCAGCTGGCAGTCACAGAGGATGTAGTTTTTCCTGTTCATAAACTTGACCTATTATTGTGCTCTTAAAGCACATCATAGATAAAGAACTGCACCTTCTGTGATCCTCAAGGAAAAATCAGGTTACATTTAAAGAAGATAAGGAAATTCCATGTTTGTCTGACTCTGTTCAAACTGGGAGAACAGAGCTTCCGGCTTTTATCCCTGGCTGCCACAGATTCTCTTAGTTCTGTTAGAGGTTGGCTGGTGTTTCCTGGTTTTCAGTTTGTTCTTTGTTTGAAATGAGGTTGATTTAGCTGTCTTAAAGGGTTGTATGTTTTTTGCAATATGCATTGTATTTGCACTGCAAAGATCACGAGTAAATAGTCTTCTGTTACTTTATTGGTTTTAGGATTTAGGTTTTAGTATAAAAAAACATAACACTGAGTTTAAGCAACTTACAGGAAATCTAGGTATAAATGCCCTTTTTTTTTTTTTTTAAAGAATAAAAAATACCTCTTTTTAAAAAAGACTAATTTTTGTAGTGGTAATTCTTCATGTGTGCATCTTTAAAAACTAACAGATAAAAGAAAGAAGATCCAGGCAGTTTGCTTGTGTTTACTTTTAGCCGATTCTGAGGAAGTATCTGCACACTTGGTGCAGAAGCTTTTGAAATTCACTAACATTGTTTAGATGTTTTATAGTCAGACTGCATATTAGCCTTGTGCTAATACAAAGACAGCTGAGGAAGGAGAAAATTAACTAGTCACATAAAGAATATCTGATTCCAGAGCATTTTGCACTTAGCCATTTACTCAACAGTGCTTGTTTAAAACTTTCTGAAATATTTTAAAGATAAAAATTATCTATGTAGCAGCCTAGAACATCAGAACTTCTTAAATCTGGGTTGCTCTCACAGATTGCAAAAAATAAATGGTCTTCTCTGCATTTCTCTGCTTTTCCTGAGACAGGCAGGGTAAGGCTATATTTATTGCTTGGAGATTTTTTGTTTACCTTTTTCTTGAAGTGCTTTGCTCTATAAATTCCCATACATGCTTTGTTTGTAACTTGGAAGCATTGTTCACCTGCCCCAAAGGCATCTGGAGATCTGCAGCTTACATGTAGCTCGGTTTCACTTGCGACAAGTTCAAAGTGATACAGCATCTGGGATTTTCTTTTCATTGCTTACAATATATCTCACACCTTGCAAAGGCTCCTGTTGTGCCATAAAAGATGAGCTGCAGGATGGTATTTTACTTCAGTGGTTTAATTCTGGAAACTGTTTTGTCATTTGTCTCTTTGAAATTAGTCACAGGTGTAAAGGCTTTTTAAAGACAGATCTGTTCAAGGTACTGTAGCTATTGAAAATTTGACATGGTGATGATTGGACGTTGCCAGAAGAATCTCTTGATGGGGAAGCAGCAGTGTTGTCATGGTTACACAGAACACGAGTGAGGTTTCTATGGCAATGTTATAATTTTTTTGGGGGGGTAAAGTGACCCTTGTTGTTAGACATTGGCTGGATGTTGGCTGCTTGGCCCTGTACCTCTTCAGGTTGATGAAATGGAGGAGGATGATAATGAACAGACAGGCATCAGCTTACAAATGAGTGCTAGCAGATTTTCATCACTCATCTTAGTTCAGGCAGATGTGATGATGTGCAATGCTGGGAATTGTTGTGTGTCAGAGCAGTGCAACTTGAAGAAACAGGGGTTGCAATAGAAAGAAATGCAGGTAGCAGCTTGATACTGTGGCTTAGTGGTGAGCCATATAACTTTGTTTAATCTGAGCAGAGACAATAATTTTATAATATTGAATAGTGGATGTCAGTTTTTGTTGTAACCACACAGTGCTTGGAAGAATTAAGTTCTGATAGTTATGAAGATGTAACTGCAAAGTCTGAATGGACTAGTCTCTGGCATTGTGTGGATTCAGTCTCTTCAGAGGCCTCTTGGGAGGAGGACAGGGACTCCACCAGGTGTAAATAGCTTTGGAGAGGAAGTTACAGGAAAAAGCAGCACAGAGTGAAGGCTACTTGCTTGTCACCTACTCTTCCAGAGGTTCTCAGAAACTGCCAGTGGTTGTTAATTTCCACCAAAAAGCTTAATCATTTAGTGTGAACATGCTTTTATTGCTCCTATTGCTCCAATTCTGACCTGTTTGCTTGAATGAATCCTAATTTTTGTAATAGAAAACTGTGTGTGAGCAGCTGGAAGGTCTGGCCTGTGATAACTCATTCAGTTGCCTGAGAAATTAAAACAGACATCAAAACAGGGAAATTTGGTGGGGCCAGATACAGCTGGAAGTGACCAGGGCATGTGGAAGAAGGGAAGTGGCACCTGCATGTCCTGTGTCCCTTCTTCCTCCAAGTGTGGCACCACGCAGCCAGTGTGGGCAAGGTGGAAGCACAGAGTGCTGCTTTCTGCACCTCTGTATCCAGTTGCTCAAAGAAATAAGGGCAAACCAGTGGTGTGCAAGTTAGTTATTAGCTGCACATAATGCAAGTGTGAAAGGAGATGTAACGTGTACGTTGTGAGTGCTGATGAAATACAGGAAGGGGAGCTGGAGAGTGGTATGTTGCAGAGAGGTTGTGTGCAGGTGATTGCAGTTTAATTTGAGATGGAGGTAGTGTCCTTTGTAATTCCTGCAGCACCTTACAAGTGAGATCTTCTCAAGTCTTGTTTGTAGAGCGTGCAGACCCTTTTTCTTTGTTTCTAGGAGAAAAGTTCTGTTTGAGGGTGGTAATTTGCTTGCCTAGCAATGCTCAGTAAGCTCCCATTCCTTGGTTCAGGATGAAGTGAGTGTTGGGAGGTCTTTGGACAAGTCTTGATGTTGATAGGAAAAATGCACATCAGTGTGTGTCATGATGGTGATTCCTGGGCATCTGTGCAACACCTTGAATGAAATATTGCATGTTAGAACAAGACTTTTAATGTTTTGTTAAGGTGTCTGTGGAAGAGGCAGGAAAGAAATGCAGTTCTTTGGATTTCTAGTTTCCTATCTTGCTTTCTGCCTTTGTGTATCTGTTGCTTATGTGAGCAACATAAAAATGAGACCACCTGCATATAGAGAACATGGAGATGTAAAGATGTGAGATAAGGTGCCATCAGGTAGAGAGATGCGTTCTTGGTAGAAAGTTTAATTTTTATTTTTTAAGTCTGAGCTATGTATCTTTTGTGATGTTTCAGGTGGAAATGATCCACTGCTTGTTACAGGTGAACCAGCCTCTGTTACTTTTTCATTTTCAGTTCTGTTAAAAGGTTTGAAACAAGTAAGGTGAAGCCCAAACTGGAGTTTCTTGGGTAATGTGAAGAGAACTTTTCAATGAGTGAAAGTTGTTTTGCTCTTTGAGCTTCCCCATGCAAATGCAGTTCAAGTGACTAACATTTTTAAAGATAGCGTGACAGGTTTGCAGACTCATTCAGAATTAAGTTGTGTACTTATGCTGGGAATAGTCCTTGGGTGTCTTCAGCCACAGCCTTTTAAAAATGAATTGCTTTCCTAGAGTCACAGGTGAAGTGAAGCAGAACACGACAAACATGGTGGTGTGCAGAGTGCAAGGGGAGTGGAACAGTCTGCTGGAGTTCACCTACAGCAACGGGGAGACAAAGTGTGTGGACTTGACAAAGCTGTCTGTGACAAGAAAACGAGTCCGGCCCCTTGAGAAACAAGGACCATTTGAATCTAGGTAGAGTATGTGTTTGCTGTTGCCTGACCCTTTGCATCCTAAGCAGCCTGATGAATGCCTTAGGAAAATGTACAAATGTGGATATGATTTGTGGGTAGTGCTTAGCAGCAGTGATGCCTCATTTCTATTTTTTTTTTTTTTTTTTTAAAAACAAGTGCATAAGAAGTGCAAAAACCAAGTGCAGGCATTTGGTGTTTATCGTGTCTCTCTTGTTCATGGACAGAGTTATCTTATGAGTTTGTAAGTGCCTGCTAGAACAAAGCCTCCTTATGTTTTGTTGGTAACCATCAGCTCCACAGTAGGGCAGCTCCTGCCAAGGGAGGTCCTCACTGCTTGTTGAGTAACACTTCTATAGCAGCTTCAAGGGGTGTGCAAGGAGATGCTAGACTGGCACAGCTGAAGCCTCAGAGCTGTTCCTGTCTGCCCCTAATGGCTAGTGAAGCTGTAAGACTTGGCCAGGAGCCCTTCTACCTACGCCACACCCTCGTGCTCTGACCTGCCCTGGTTAGTCATGTGTGAGTGGAAGGAGTGCTCCTGTTCTGAATGAACTGCATGTGGCAGTCCTGTGGTTTGGGGTGGCAGGACAAGAAACCTGTTAAAAAGTGATATTAAGAATTTGTTTTGTAGGAGGCTGTGGCAGCATGTAACAGAGTCTCTGCGGGATGGAGACATCAATAAGGCTACGGAGCACAAGCGAGCCCTTGAGGAACGACAGAGGAATGAAGAGAGGCTTCGTGCTGAAACAGAAACACCTTGGTGTACTAAATACTTCCTTAAAGAAGTAAGTTCCCGAGCAGTTAGCTGTTGGTGAGGGCAGATGCAGAGCTACAGTGAAAGCAGGTGCATATGTGGGTCAGTGTCCTGTCAGAATACAGTATCTGGCTTTAGATCTTAGAGTTTAGCTCCCTGGGATCCATAGGAGTAAGATGACATAAGCACTCCCAAACGTGTAAAGGTGTGACTTCACTCTTCACTTCCCAGATACTTTGATTTTGAAATTCCTTTGCAACAAAATGTTTGCATGTTGTGTGGTGTGGTTTCTTTTTCCAAGCACTTCCTCGTGACACACGGAAGACAACTTTGCATGCATACATGTAAGTGGACTGTAACAATAATCAGTAGTACCAATTTTGCATATGTTGTGTGGGTATGGACCCAAGATGTTGCTGTTAGCAAGAAGGAACATGAGTTCACTCTCAGCTTAGAGTTTTTTGTTCTTGTACTTTACATTTTGGATGGAGCTTATCTATTCAGTGGTTTAACCTGTGTTTCGATAATGATAGTAATAATAATATAGGACTTCTAACAAGGTGGTCTGCAGCCTGCCCAGTAAGACCGAGGGCTGCTGGTATGATAACTTTGAAGCAAGCTTTCCTTGTGATCCAGATGATGAGGCCCTGCTGGTGGAGAGAGCTGTGCTGAGCCCCTTGCAAGAGAGCAGGACTCAGTTAAAATTTCTGCTTATAATAGATTCTCCTTGTAGTGAAAACTTTTTCTGTCAAACTGCAGTAATGTAACTCCCCTTTCTTCTTCTCCTTTCCATGTCTGATCTAGTAAGGGTTTAAAGGAAAGGCAAAAAAGGGGTGTTTTTTTTCTCCTGAGGTTTCTTCCTGTTTTATTTTTTTTAAATTTCAGGGCTATCTGTTGGGTCCGTTAAAGTGTGTGTTTGGGTGTGTTTTTCTTTTTTGTTTTCTAAAGCTATGTTAGTATGGTTAGCTCAGGTTTAGATATTTGTGTTGTTAGTATCTAGATTCAGAAGAGGTGAAATTCTGTTGCTAATCTGAGATTCAGATCTTCTCAGAAAGTGTTTAAACATAATCTTGAGCTACTTCATTTCTGGGTAAGCTGCTGGACTGTGCTAGTGCTGATAATCCTGTGTGGCTGCCGCTCTGGGGCCTTCTTGTTTGGCTTTGTAAAGTAATCTGGATCATGATGTTGAGAAGAGTGGCTTTCCATCTGGGTTAGTTACAAGTAGCAGAGTTGCGTGGCTCAGAAAGAGTCCATACATGTTCTAAGTAGTCTCAGAACCCTGCAGCATTGATCTCTGTGTCTTAATCTGTGGGGAGTTAAAGGTACAAGCTATGTCCCTCCTGTCTTTCACAGCTATCAGTCTAATAGCCATGTGAAGGGAATTCTCCTGGGGTGATGTCTTTATTATAACCACATTTTCTCCTTAAATTGCAGGGAGATGTCTGGGTTTATCATAAACCCCTCTGGAAAACAGTCTCTGCTGTGCAAACTCAGCAAACGGACACCAACTAGAAAAGCTGCTTTAAGATGAGTTTTCTGATTTTTCCTCTCCTTTTCCTCTGTCTCTCAAAACACAATAATCACACTGAGTGTCCCCTTTTTATATAGTTATGAACGTTTAAATGAACATAAAGAAATAAATATACTAGGTCACTTTAAAGCTATTAAAAAAGAAAAAAGAAAAAAAATCAAAGTTGTAGAGACAGACTTGCCAGGTACATTCAACCAATTTGTTTTTTGTATGATCCAAAAGATTTTATCTGAATTGTGTAAGATTATTCTCAGTAGACCTGATTGCAAAAGCTGCCTAAGAGAAGAAGGAACTGTTGGATTTTGGAGTGACATGGGAACTTTTTCCGGAATCTGTGTCAAGCTCTTTAATGACTGAAACCTGCTCAGTACCCACGTAGACGACAGCAACAAAAAATTGCTGCTTTTATGCCCAGTGATTAACTTTTTTGGCAAAAACTGGAGGGGTGTTTGGAAGATGTGCCTGAAGTCAGTATTAAGAAACAACTGTATCGTGATGACTTTTTTCTTCAGAGAGAAAGCGTGCATGCATCGGAGAAATATGGGATATATGTAGAGACTACTGTTCTTTTTTATGGATTTATAAAAGCAATTAGAATTGTAACCATGGAGAAATTTTTCCTCTGAAACGTTTTAATATACTTGAAATAATTGACTTGAATTGGAAAAGTAATCTGAACACTTTTCAACTCCTAGTTTTATTAAATCTATGAGTGACTTTGGTTTTTCTCATCTTATAGTATATTGAGGTTTGGCCTTCTTTTTTCTCCTTCCCAAGGACTAAGGCTTTCAAAATGAGCAGAAAACATACAGTTTTGTATTTAAATTTCTCTGCCCATCTAATCATCTCAGAGGTGAAGTATCAGTGTTACAAACTGTCCTTTGGATTGTTTTGGGTTTTCTCCTGTGGTGTTGTTCAGAACAAAGCAGTGAAATGTGACCTGTGAATACACAGACTGGAGGTCCTGGTTTTTCATCTTACCATAAAGAAAAAGCTGATTATACTGAGGACTTGGTATTGATTTGAAACACAATCAGGTATCGGGAAACTGTATTCAGGTACAAACATCCTTTGTTTTTTTGTTTTTTTTTTTTTTATAACTATTTTATTGAAGTCTAAGAATTGCTGGCAATTAAGAATAGTACTTATTATGGCTTTCGTTATTGTTGTAACTACAAGCTACCTTAATTTTTCCAACAGTGGTGCCTTAATCTGTTTTTTCTTCTGATGTAGTCTTCCAATCAGTGTATATAACATTATCTGCCACTTCCCAGCCATGGCAATGGCTGCACCTGATCCAGCATCATGAGAACTCACAACTGTGTGATCTGGTAAGATGTTTTCCATGGAGAAGATACAAGTGTAAGAATGCATCAAAAGGTTCAGACATGTTAACTTGCAACACAAACTGTTCATTGTGCAAAAAAATTTAGTTTATGGACAACTGTTTTGATCCTCTTGTACTTTTATTTTTTTTGCTGTGAAGTGCACTGAGATCTCAATTCGAGTCATAGTCCGTTTGTGAGAACTGGGGGTGGGGATAATAAAACTACAAAATGATTCATTTGTTCTGTCTGTTTTCCTAGAGATAAGTGGTCAGGAAGACTAGGTTGTTGTTACCTTTTATGCTGGAGCTCTGTCTGTCTGGGCTATCCTTAGCCCTTCAAGTGGGATATTTTGGCACTACACCCTTGAGTAGTAGCATATTCTCCAGCACAAGAACGTTTCAGGCCCTGCTCTCTTGTTTGTGATATTCTATACAACCATCCTTTTGTGTTAGTTTTGGATATCCATTGGACATTTTCATGTTTAATCAGGAATAAAAATTAAAGCAGTAGGATTAGTCCCTCCTTTTTTTCTGGGTCTGTGGCACATTTAGGATGTGCTTCTTGGTCACCCTTTGCGGTAGGAATTGTGGTGGCAGCACATGAACTTCCATAGTTCATGGCACCTGCACCAAACTTGGGATGGTAGAGGGACAGAAAAGAAGTTGACAACACTGTATATGTTTTGTAGGTGTTTTATCTGTGTCACATGACACATTTGCTTCAAACAAATGGTAAGGGCTGTGGTGCAAGGTCCAGCATTTAATGCTGGAATGATCAGAGCAGAAAGCAACCTTTATCCACTGAACATATTCCAGGAATCAAACCTGTGCTTATTAAAATACAGGCTTGTAACTATTACTGAGCTCTGCTTAAAATTTTGATTTGGGATTTTTGTCAAGGTGATGGCTGTAAAAGTCTGAAAAGCTCCCAAGTTGACCATAAAGCCATTTGTGCTCTTTATATAACACTATTAGTCAAGTTATTTCTCTTTCACCCTCATCTGGTATACTTGTGGTTTCACACTAAGAAAGCTGTTACTAATTTTGTGGTGTAAAAATAGACCTAATGCTGAAGAAGTACTCTTTTAAAATACATGAAAGATGACTTCTAACATGGTGGTGCTGCTAGGAAAAAAAAAAGGTAAACCCTTCCTTTGCTCCGATGATCCAAAGAACTGAAACGGTTTCCTGATGTGGATTTAGTTATGATGCAATGTTTTGTTACTTCTAGAAACAATGGATGTAGTTGAAAACAGTTTTAGACCCCCCAAACCTAGCCACTGAATATCCAGGTTAAATTATAAGATATTTATGTGATTCTTCTGAGAGCTGCAAGCAGCCTACAGACTCATGGATGTATTTCAAACCATGGCCAGATTTGATTCTCTTGCATAACTGCTGTTGTTTCCATCTTGTACCTTCTGGAGCGAAGGGAAAGGGCTCACTGATGCTTCCTATGTAGATGTTTGCTAGAACCACAGCATGCTCAATGGGGGGAGCATGGCAAAATATAACATTTCAGCTTATCTCCCCTTTGGTCTTTTTGGCTTGATTTGGCTCCACTGAAGTTAAGGGCAAAATTCATCTTTATCTCAGTGGTTTTCGACTCCCTGAGTTACAAACAGATCTTGGAGCTTAAATAAGGGGCTCTCTTCAGAGGTGCTGCATACCCTGCTGCTCATGGAGAGCAGTGTGTGACAAGTCACTCCTATTTAATGCAGACATCCAGGCAAATAATCCTGACAGCTTGGTTCTGGACTTGGTTTTCATGGAAACAAAAAAAAAAAAAAAGGCAGTATGTAAATCTGAGTGTTCAAGATTTTAAACATGGGGAAGGGAATAGATTGGGAAGTTTTCCCAGCATATTTACAGTATAAAGTGTCAAGCCTAGGATTAACTCTCTGTATCCTCAGGAGAATTTGGATTTCAGCCATCAGAACTGGAGATGCAGCTTTCAAAGTCTAGTTTGCCTGAGCTGATCCCACTCTGTCAGTCACCTGTGGGAAGAACAGGTCAGAGTGTTTTTTAAAGCCTCTTGAACTGAACTTGGAAGAACAAATAAACCCATTCATCAGTGTTGTATCCAAACAACCTGGTGCAGAATTTGGTAGGGGGAATTCTGCACCAAATATTATGAGAAGGAAAGATTAGGTAGCCTTGAGGGAGTCAGATGTGTTCCCGTAGTTTCTTACGTCCATGTCAGAAAAGCTGCCCCATGCTCTCTTTCTCTTGGGCATATGTACAGCAGAGCAGTGCAGCGGTTAACATGAAGGAAATGAGGCTGAAGCCAGGTGAGTGGCAAGGGTGTGTTTATAATGAACTGTGGAGGATATACGTCAGGAGAACTGGGTCAGCTTGAAAAATCATCTTATCACAGCATGTAGCAGGCAGTTGGGGGACTGTTGAGAACCAAAGGTGTGGTCACAGTTGCAGGTGGAGATGTATACATGGTAGCTGGAGTAAGTATTTAGATTGAATGCAGCATAATTCATTCCCCTTCCATCCTTCTTTGAAGGATTTAAAGACAATTTTGCTCTAGGCTTTTAGTTTAGGAGCCGTGGAAGTGATCTAAAAAGGTGGAAACAATAATGAGAGGAGAAAAGCTTTTTATATGGACTGGTGCTGTCATAGCTGTGCATTTTTAGAAAACCAAAAGAGCCCTGCAGGTCTGCTTCCCTGTTCCACATCAGGGAGCCTCAGCTCTTGGAAGCTTGTGGCTGTTGTAGTTTTCTCCTTTCCTCTCGCTTGTAGGGGTTGATCCATGCAGCTGTGTGCTGGCAAGCAAAATGTCCCTCTCTGGTGCCATGCTGAAAGATGCACCTCCCTGTTGGTGTCAGGTATGGGCTTGCAGGGCTTCTTAGCAGCAGATAAGGTTTTTCTTACCTTTTGCTCCCACGGGTGGAGGGATTAAGATTTGCACGGTACCAGGGTTCAGAGTGAGGTATAACTTACCTTTTCTTAGGTGCCTTCCCACTGCAGAAGCAGCCTGGCTTGGTCTGGTGGTAACTCACAGGAGTAAAGGTCCTGGTTCTGCCTGCTCATGTTTCTTCAGGTTGAGTAACACAGCAGAGGGGTGTGAAAGAGTTGCAGGAAGAATTAGCCAACGCGTTTGTGTTGATGCTGTTAACTGTGACACAAACCTGCTGGCTAGAGGTGACTGGAGACGATTGACACAGGGAAGAGTTGCCTAGGTATCCTGCATGGAGACTTAGAGTGAAACAGCAGTGTCTACACCGGTGACTTTTTTTTCTATTCAAAAAACTTTATGCACCCACCTGGACCATCAAGGACACCCAGGAATTCTCCAGTGAAAAAAAGGTGTGCTGGACTTGCAGCAGATCAGGCTTTTGTAAACTGGATTGATCATATTCACATCGTATTAAGGACTGTCTGATCAAGGAGCAGTTTTCCTGGGTGCCTGCATTTTTTCCACTGAGGGTGTGCTACATCTCAAGATGTTTTTTCTGCTGCTACAACAGATTTTGTGTGTGCGTGTGGAGGCCACTAAAAAAGGAAAACTGAAAATTTTCTTGATCTCTGTGGAATAAGCAGTTAGAAGAGAAGCTTGTGATGGCAATTATGGAAGGACTTCAAAAGATAGACATGGAATTCAGGTGCTTATTAATAAAAGATTAAACATTATTTTAAAAAATAATAGAAGGAATGCTTTGCATCATTATACATTTAAAGTACGTACAAAATCAGTTCATATATAAAGTTGCACTTTAACCAAAGTATTGATTCCACAATTCACTGTATCTGTGGGAGGAAACAGATCTTATAAATAAGTTATGTACTAGATCTTAGTTCCATTTTGAACAACGCAGTGAGTTTTTTTCCCCATGAGCTGAATGCTCCTCATGTATCCTCTCACTTGTCGTGCCGAGGCTTTCTGCCCGCGGTGTCACTGCCCGTTGCTGCTCCCGTCGCCGCCAGGGGGCTCCCCGCCCGGCGCTGCAGTCTTGCTGCCCTCGTTGCCCGTGTTGTTGTTGAGGATGTCGTCGCAGTCCATCTGTGCCATCAGGTTGAAGCGCTCGGCCACGCAGTGGGCGGTGAGCCGCGCCTCGGGGTCGTGGTCCCAGCACTCCGTGATGGTGTCGCACAGGAAGCGCATGCCCTGTGGCCAGAAGGGCTGGAGTTAACCTCTGAAGGCAGGAGGAGGACTGGGGCGGGTCTAATGCAGGCACGGTGTTTTACCCCAAACCTCTGACAGCTTCCTGCAGAAGCACTTTTTTTGGCCCAGCACAGGAGGAAACGGCCTCGGTAAATTGTGGCACGTGCCAGTGCTTGCACCGTGCCTGTGGTAGAGCAGCAGCCTCAGCTCACCTGGGTTCTGCTCCCAGGCGTTTCCTACACTCCGTGGGAGCCTTCACTGGAAGATGGTTTGTGTTGACTGTGGGGCTGAAATAGGGACTGGAAGGAAACAAGCCCTCTCTCCTGTCTCCACCTTGCCTGTTCACAGCAAAGCATCCTAAAACCAGGAGGAGTGGGAGAGGTGCAGATGGTGACCTGCTGGCAGCTGAGCCCAGGTCTCTGGGCTTCAAACCATCTCCTGGGCTGTTACACCTGGGTGGAGGGGAGGGGAGTGGGTGAGTTCAATGACAGGTTTGGAATTCAGGTTCTTAAATCTGGCTTCTTTTAGCAACTGCCTGAAAGAGCGTGTCTTGCCAAATATTCATTGCAGTGTGCATTTGAACTTGTGTTTCCTCACCACAAGAGTGTCTTGGTTTAGGTGGGATTGAGTGCTTATCAGTGTGCTCCAGAACACATTCAGTTCCTCTCAGTTACAATGCTATAATGTCTCACAGTAATAGGATTTTTTTCAGTCATGTAGTGCTCTGAAAAGAGTCCCAATATTGTGGGCTTAGAAACAAAATGGCAGCATTCAGCTGATATTTTCCCCACTCTTAAGCTAGTACACAGCTAGCAGCAGAAGCTCTGTTGAACCTTCCTTTGCATGTATATAATTCCTATCATTGGCTATTGCTTTTTGCATCATTGTCAACCAAGGTCGCAACACATTGGAAAAATCATTATTCTAAATAAAACTTCATGTTTTTCAGTGGGGTTTGTGTATTTCTTAATTTGCAATTAGGAGAACCCAAGAGTCTTATGTGGACCAGCACAAGAGGAAAATGCAAGTCCTACAGAGATGGGCTGTTAAGGCCACCTGTCCTTCCACACCTGGCTCTGAACTCACTGCTCTCTGCTGAGGTTCATTGTACTAAGTCTTCTGTAATGGACACAGATTAGAGGAACAGGATTGTGCAGTACAACAGACAGATGGTGTGTTTCAGTACTGCTTACATCACTCACTTATTACCTTAGTTGAAAGGATTTGAGGATAATTAATTAACATGCAAAAATGAGCTAGCTTAGTTAAGGCTTTTCAAATAAGCCTTTTCTCAAACAGAACATGGCACTGTCATATGGTTTAGTTGTTAGATTTTCTGTGCTCATTTTGCCCTGAAACCATGGCATCTATTTGCAGTTTCCCTTGTAAGCAGCAATGATGCTTTCTTGAATGGTACAACTGAACATCCTGTTACGCTCACAAAATGGTCTTAGTTTAGGTTTTATATCTGATATCTCAGATTTCCAGAGGATGCTGAGTTTTACAAGTGTATTTTTAGTGTCAATATTGACTTAAGCTCCCAGTGCTCCTTCCTGTCTTGTACCAGCCCTTTGGCTGTGCCAGTACAACAATCTGTTCAGCTGCTTCTGGAATCAGATCTAGAGATTTATGTGGCCTAAATATCCCTTCCCCTCCCTTTTTATTATATATGTGATAGAGTGTGAGGTGAGGTAGAATCACGGGTTTAAGGTAAGTTATCTGGGAAATTTGGGGATAAATTTCTTCTGTTTGCTTTGTTGTGCAGCCTTGCAAACAGCTGCCCTGGAGCTGCTGACCAGCAGCGTGCTGGGTGAGTCAGCTCTGTCAGGGGAAATTAGTGCTTACCTTGCTGGAAGGCTTAAACCCTGGCCAGCAATGTCCCTCCTCGCTTAACCGAGAGGGATCCTGATGGCTGAAATGTGAGAGCAGCCTTTGGAGCTCTGCACCGAACTGACTTCCACTGGTGGGAACATCAACGGGTGCTTCCCAGCCAGGTGAGCCATTTGTCACACTGCTCCCTCCCACAGGAAGCCTTTGACCCCAGGAGTGGGACAAACCGGTGGCTTTCTGCTGCTTCCCAGCAGATGGTGCCGCCCTGTGCCTCAGCCTGGAGACATGGGTTCCAAAAAGCCTGGAAAATCGGGTGAAGCCTGACTTGTAAGAAGGTGTTTATTAGATAAACTAGGATTAGTCAGAGGGATATTTTCAGGAACACAATGTGGCTTCTCTGTTCCATGGTGAACATCAGGTATTCCAATAAACGTTAGTGCCTGGTAAGCCTTGCTCTGTTTACGTGTACCTTACTACAGCTATGTTTCTCAGTCAGCCCTTCTTCAGCTCCAGCACACAGTGCAGTGGCACTCTGGCTCTGTCAGAGTGTGATTTTTGACAGCCCAAGGCTCTGTACATTTCTTCTGTGGTTTCAAAGTTTATCAAAGACCCTGGGAGGTGAATGTGCAAGATGAAAACTCAAAGGCTTTGAATGCGTACCACTGCTGACTGGAGTTCCTGCGTTTGCCTTCATCAAAGACAAAGGCTGGGTGAACTTCAGCAGTGGACTCTCTGACTGATAAGCTGGTGGTCCAGCAGAAACCACAGACTCATTTGATGCTGTTTGCAGTTTTGGTTAGGCCATTTTGGAGTTTTGGACAAACATGGTTTGGAGATGAGATATTTTAGGAAACATGGCCTCCCCAGGTGGTGAAATTATCTTTCCTTTTAAAAGTCTTGGCTTTATGTGCCATCTAGGCCGTGTGGAAGCAGTAGAGTTGTGTTTTATGGGTGGATACTGTAAAATGATGCTGTGGACACAGCAAGGCTCCGTGAACCAGCAAGCTCAACATTTCAGCTTGTTTTTCAGATGAACTGTTGATCAGCAGATGGTGTTTTCCCACAAGAGAGGTGAAATTTAAGGAGTAGTAAAAGTCAATCAAGATTTCAAAATCATGGTCAGCGTGCCTGTTACCCCTTGTGTCCTCAATGTGTGGAAGAAAGTACTGGACCTGGGAGGGAGGACCCCGTCAGGACCTGGAGGTAGCTGTTTCTGGAGCTGGTTGGTCTGGGTGTGCTTGTGGATGGCTTTGATAGAGCACATCTCACCACTGCTGAAGTGGTTCTGTTCTGGAGCACTGGCTTATGCTTTCTGTGCTGAAATGCTTTGCTTTCAGACTGTCTGAGCTGAAGGCTGGTGAAGGGCTTCCCCTTGGCACGAACTGTGCTTAGCAGGTCCCTGCCCTCAGCTTCCCATGTTTTTCATGGTTGAAACATGGTTTTTCCCATGTATTTCATGGTTGTTTCACTGGAGATGCTTCCTGGTTTGCCCTTCCTTGTAGTAGTGGAAGTCTTTCTTCTCACATGCCAAGTCATGACCTCTTGTGTCAGAGGTAATTTTGAGCTTGAAACCTCCACAACCAAGGAGGCAGAAGGCTGTATGCACTGTCCTCCCCTCTGTCCCTGCTGTGGATGGCTGCGTGCAAAGGACTACCTGTTTTTCAGTCAAGAGCTTTCTGGATACGGTCGTTAGGGGATGAGTCAGGTGAACTCAAAATTTTTTTACTATTCCATAAGAAGGGCCTGCACTGAAGTACTCCGTTTTGCTGTTATCCTCAGGATAACTGAAACCACAGAATATCACCTGACATTCATAACGCTTCCTGATCATGGCTCTTGATCAGTAAATTTTGCTGTACCCTTGGCCTGTGGCTTTTATACACCAGGGAGATGGGTCTAGTGGGGCATATGTGGACTCAGCCAGCCAAAATGGAGCTGGAAGTAGAGTCCAGGAATTCTGCCCACTTTTGCTTTGATTACTGCTTTAATAATTTTTCAGACTGGTTTAGTGAGGTGGGACAATGTAGGCTGTTCTTTTCTGAACCAGCTGCTCCCAGCTTACCTGATGCACCAGCCAGCTGCTCGGGATCTCAGGTCGCCCTCTGCCGTGCAGCACAATGTCCCTCATGGTGTCCACACAGGGCTGCTCCTGGACTTTGGACCCAAAAGGCAGCTCATAGTTCTTGACCTCTGCAAGGAAGCAACAGCAGCATTGCAGGATGCTTTTAATGCATTCACTGCTTTACTTTGGTGTCATCTACTGGATGAGAATAAACATGTTTTTATCAGTCTGCAAAAATAAACGGATCAGGAGACAATTTAGAATTAGAACAAAGAAATGTAGTACTGGGTTTTTGTGTAGAGTTTTTCAGAGCCTTGATTGAGGAACTATCTGACCACATCCTGAACCCAGGAGATGCACTACATAGGATTTGGTCTGTCTGGGTGAGACGTACTTTAAGCAGGTAAAATGTGTTATGCTGGTGAAAGATGGGAAAGGTGACCTCTGCTGTGGGCATGGATTGCTTTAGAGGAGAAATGGCCCTTCACAGAAGATCAATCCTATGTCCTGGGAGGTCAGGGAGAAACTCCCTGTTGCAGAGGTGAGAGGCCACCTGGGTTTCTTCCAGCTCCTGCCAGGATGTGAATGCAGATGCAATAAGAGTGTAGAGGGATGGCCCCGGATGCTGGCTCAGGAGCATAGGATGCACGGGGGCATCTGATCCAGGCAAGGATCTGCCACCACCAAGTGTGGGGCACACAGGGCACTTGGGCACCATTCTTGCCGAGGGTTGGAGCTTATTCCAGCTCTGTGGGCTTGAATTCCCAGTAGGTGCGATAGGGAGGGAACCAGACTGAGCCAAAAAGGGAAGAGGCGGGCAGGCAGGGGCTCACAGCAGGGCAGTTAATTAAATGTTTTGCCACACGCAATTTCAGGTGCCAGGATGTGGCTCTGGGAAGCAAGGGGGGACGTGGCTCTGAGTTTGCGAGTCCTGGTTGCAACCTGAACTCTGGTGTTGTCTGAAAAAAAACCTGCTTGTGGCCAGGGACAGGGAGACGGCTTTGGCTCTTTCTGCTTGGTTTGCTTTGCACTGCAAGCACTGACTCGGATGTGCCGTGCTTCCCGGCCGGCTTTGAGTGGGGGCTGGACCAGCTGACCCCCTGGGGTCCTGTCCTGCTTCTCAGCCACTGAGCTGGCTCCCTTGAGCCATGGCACATGGGGCAGGCAGCCATGGGGGAGGATCTGCTGCAGGCTCTTAGCAGCCCTGCAGAGACCTGAGACACCCCAAATCGGGTGCCACGTCACCCCCAGCGACACAAGGTGAGCCATCTCTGTAGGGGGAAAGGGAGAAAAAAGGCGCATGGCAACCCTGCTGCGATGCTCCTACCTCCTACTACTTCACATCTGGAGGCCATTTCCCACAGAACGAGGGCCATGGAGTAGACATCCATCTGCTTGAAAGACTCTAGGTCTTCCAGGTTCACCCTGGACTCCAGAACCTCTGGGGCCATGTACCTGGCGGTGCCAACCTGCCCAAAAAAGGAGAGGGGCATTAGCAGGGGTGGGCAAGGGCTTTGGCCACGAGGCCACTGGGGGCGGTTCCCAAAGGGTCCCCTGCAGGGAGTGCTGGTGAGCTGTACTTGCCTGCCCGCTGTTGGCGAAGTCGTCCACGGTGAGGGAAGGGTCGAGGCGTATGGCGATGCCGAAGTCGCAGAGCACGCACTCCTGCTCGTTCTTCACCAGGACGTTGGTGCTTTTGATATCCCGGTGGGCGATGGGGATCTTCGGCCTGCCGCAGGCCGTGTAGTCACTGTGGAGGTGGGCCACCCCGCTCACCAGGGAGCCCGCCATCTTCTGCAGGTCCATCCAGCTCAGGACGTGGCGGGAGAGGTAGTCCTTGAGGTTGCCCCTGCTGTGGTAGGCGGTGATGAGCCAGTACTCCCGGCGGGGCCCCGTGCCCCGGTCCTCGGCCGTGAGGAACCGCAGGACACTGTCATGCTTGAGGCTGGCGTCGGTGAAGATCTGGCTCTCGTTCTTCCAGGAGGAGTACTCCTCGCAGGGGAAGATCTTGACGGCCACTGTCTCGTACTGCCCCGAGCGGCTGTGGTTCAGCTTGGCCCTCCACACCTCTGCGAACTGCCCTTTGCCCACCATCTCGTCCAGCTCGATAGGGAGCAGCTCGGCGGGGCGGCTGCTGGCGCAGGCGGGGCTGGCACCGGTTGGGCTCTCATCCGTCGGCGGCCATTCCCGCCTCCGGCAGTGCCGGCGGCTGTCCCGGTTTCCCGCCCCATGCCTTGGCTCTCTTGCGGCGCTTCTGCGTGCGGCAGAGGTAAAATATCACCGTGATCATCACCGCCACCAGCAGCGGGGGCAGCAGGCTGATGGCGGCCACCGGGATCACTTCCTTGCTTTGCAGCATGGAGTAGCCTGTGGGGAGGAAGGCGGAGGTGAGGGGTCTGCGGCAGCCCCTTCTCATCGCGTGGCCCTTAACGAAGCGCAGCCTCTGGGGCCTGCGATCCACGCTGAGCAGGGCCCCGGCGAGG